TGACATTAAAATAGAAAAATACAAAAAAAAAAACCTAAAAATTAACGAAAAAGGGGGTTTAAACATCGCCATCTAGCATGGAGAACAAACTTCCACTACTAACAAATTGGATATTACCACTAGCCCCATATAGTGGCTACATAAAGGTATCGATAGCCAGCATGCATAAAATCCACATCTAATACAACAGTTGTTACCACCAGCCCCATCCAGTAGCTACATAAAGGTACTAATATCCAACATGAAAAGGTGAAAATCTATTGTTCTAAAATGAAAACTATCTACACAAAAATATTTTCTTACATTAACAATAAAAATTATTCAGATGTGGAAATTGTTAAAAATGTTTCAAGCTTGGATAACGCCTTGGAGGAGGGCAAAACGCGTTGACGTATTTCCGGTTCCGGTGGATGCGTGGTGACGTCACGCCCGGGGAGTGGAGCGCACGCTGGTTTGCGGCGCTCCGGAGGGACTTTCTGCTTTTCTAGAGAGGATTTATACTTATCACTGCCAGCCCACTTCTACTAATGGAATTATGTCATATAATATGAGCCTCTGGGCCTATTATGAAAGCCTGAGTATACTTTTTATCATGTGAGTGCATAAAAGGCAGCCTTTTTTAGAGTAAGAGTTTTTTTTTACAGTATTGCACTATTTGTGTCTTTTTATTTGTTTTTTATTGCCATCTAATCTTGAGAGTCATTTTTGGAGGATATCAAGTGCAGAGTTATCTGGGAGGATATGCCCAGTCTATAAAACTTGTTTGACTCTTTAGCCATATCAGCAAAGAGTCCATTCCATCTGGTGAGTGGGGATTGGAGCATTAATCACGGATGGTGTGAGCACATTTGTTTGAAGAATCTTGGAGCACTGTTTTTGGGATTGAGCACAATTTATATATTTTGAATAATATTTTTTGGACTTTAGTTGGACTTTTTTTCATAATGTTTATTTAAATTTTTTTTGCGCTGTGGAGTGTTTATGTTTCTCAACTTAGCATTTTCTAGATCCTTCAAAACCAAATCCTTAAATATTTGGTGTCACATTCCCTTGAACATTAAATAATAGCGCATTTCTGAGTCCTGTACGCACAACTTCACCAGTGTGTTTAGTAATAACATCCCTTTCAACTGGATTTGACAAAAAATATTGCTTCACATTCAACTTTCTGATATATTTTTGTATTAGGGATGCACCGATACCCTTTATGATCGGCGAGTACCGATACTTTTGGTTAAATACTTGCTGATACCGAGTACCAATAATTTGCAGTGCGATTTGGTCAATACAAATTGTATGGAGGCAACTCGCACTGCAAATAATAGCATGAGATTTGAAAAGAAATGCGTTTCGATTCCTGTCCAAATCACATGCAGTTTCCCCACTTCTCTTGTGCGAACAGGATTGGTGCGGGAAACCTACCTGCACCGATCTCATCCTGCAACAGAAGGAACAGGTCTGGGGATTTGAAATCCCCGCCGCTTTTTTCTCCTCTCTGTGCAGTGAAGACAGTATTGGCTAGACAGTTTTTGATTGGTCAGCACGTCACAGTGCTGACCAATCAGAACCCTTCTAGCCCATACTGTTATCTCTGCAAGGAGAGGAGAGAAAGCGGCTTCACAGGTCTTGGGACTTAAAATCCCTATGGCTTTCTCTTGTATTGATGCAAATCGCACTGCAAAGTATTGATTTCGGGTATCGGGAGCATTTTCACAAGTACAAGTACTGTGAAAATACTCAGTATCGACACAGATAACGATATCGGTATTGGTGCTTCCCTATATTGTAGATCAATAAAAGTGTCAAACTTATTCAAAGCCCTTGCTGGGGCATACTTCAAGCCTTTATTTAACCACTTCAAATCCGAACAATTTAACCCCCTTCCAGTCCAGGCCAATTTTCAGCCTTCAGCAGTGTTGCACTTTGAATGACAAGTGCGCAGTCATGCAACACTGTACCCAAGTGGTACCCAAGTGAAATTGTAATAATTTTTTTCACACAAATATAGCTTTCTTTTGGTGGTATTTGATCACCACCAGGCATGGGATGGATGGATAACTCTGCAGTGTTTCATGGGATGGGTGAAATACTCTATAGCGTATCATGGGATGGGTGAAATGCTCTGCAGTGTATCATGGGATGGGTGGAATGCCTTGCAGTGTATCATTGGATGGATAGAATGCTCTGCAGTGTGTCGTTTGATGGATGGAACACTCTGCAATGTCATGGGATGGGTGGAATGCTCTGCAGTGTCTTGGGATGGGTGAAATGCTCTGTGGTAGGTCATGGAATGGGTGCAATATTCTGCAGTGTATCATAGGGTAGGTGAAATGCTCTGCAGTGTCATGGGATGGGTGGAATGCTCTGCAGTGTCATGGGATGGGTGGAAAACTCTGCAGTGTATCATGGGATAGGTAGAATACTCTGCAGTGTATCATATGATGGGTGAATTGCTCTGCAGTGCATCATGGAATCACTGGAATGCTTTGCAGTATATCATGGGATGGGCAGAATGCTCTGCAGTGTCATGGGATTGGTAGAATGCTCTGCAGTGTCATGAGATGGGTGAAATGCTCTGTGGTAAGTCATGGATTGGATGGACTACTTTGCATTGTATCATGGGGTAGATGAAATGCTGTGCAGTGTATCATGGGATAGGTGCAGTACTCTGTAGTGTCATGAGATGGATGGAATGCTCTGCAGTGTGTCATGGAATGGGTGAATGCTCTGTAGTGTTATGTGATAGGTTGAAATACTCTGTGGTGTGTTATGTGATGAGTGGAATGATCTGCACACATATACACACATACAAACAGATATAAAAACACACACACACACAAAACACGTACACACACATATAGGCAGCCTTTCAAAACATGGGCAGTACAGTGCTTTGCTTCTCTCATACAGCTGGGTACTGCACTGTAGGGGGAGGCAGAGAGCACAGTCCTCGGGAAGACACCTCTTTAGTTTCACTTTGTGTGGTCACTGTCTGTTGTGTGTTCACTGTCTGATCGAGCTCCCAGTGTGGATGCATGATGGGGAGTTTGGTCTGACAGCCTATCTGTACCAGCCACATGGGCCCCCTGGATCAATGGCAGGATCGCCATTGTTACCCCTGTGGCTATGCCACTGATCATGGGAGATGAAGTTCAGAAAAGAAACTTTACTAAGGCAATCAATGAACAATTGGACTACAATTCCCAATGTGAGTCATGTATAAAAAGAGGGAGAGAGCTGTATTTTCTCAGGCTGAATACTGATGGATTACCTCCTTGGCAGGAGGAATCTGAGATGTGCACATCGCTGCTCCAGTGTGCACATCACCCTGCTACAAGTATGCAGATGTGTATTGAGGACGAAGTCGCTCTAGGTCAGGGGTGGGCAACCTGCGGCTCTCCAGCTGTTGCAGAACTACAAGTTCCATCATGCCTCTGCAAGTCATAGCTGTAACTGTCAGTTTTGGAATGTCTCATGGGACCTGTAAAGTCATGGGAAATGTAGTTCCACATCAGCTGGAGAGCCACAGGTTGCCCACCCCTGCTCTAGGCAGATCCAGAAGTGAGATGACATTTTTTAACAGTGGGACCCTGTTGCTGTATCGCTGGGACTAGTGAGAGGACACTACTGTCTTTACCCTGTTACTACTAGCAGAGACTGAGCATATATAGACTGACTATCCAACTATCAGCATTATCCACTACATACAGACTTTACTGGGACTGTGCTTATGTGCACCACCATAAAGACTGGGCCCCAACGATAACCGACTGAAGAATTAGGGTTAAAGAATGCTCACTCAGATAGCTACTTCACAAGAAATTTGCCTATTGTCCAACCTCTTTAGAGAGTTTCTAAATTTCATTGCTGCCATTCATGTAGAATGCACTCAAGTGGAAATAGCCTACTGTTCACAGGGGAGTTATCACAGTATTGATTATCACTGCTGTTACTGTTTTCTAATGCCATTACTTATTGCTGATTTTGTGGGTCACCAGGTTTACTCTGTACAATATAGTGATGTTATATGCAGTTTATGAAACTGAATAATAAGTGACCACTTCTGCTCGAGGTGAGAATGATTGCCTGAAAAAAATCCATTTGCAAATCTCTTGCAAACACCCCTAAATCCCAGCCCAATCAATTAATTTGAAGACATTCTGTAATAGGGCTCTGAATACAGCATTGCTTTAGTACACAGGCAAGGTCATGGGCACAACATGTTCTGTTCCTAGGAGTTACATATCATTAAGCTAAACGTCCATGAGCTCAAATATTTCCCGAACTAAATCAACATTTCATGAAATAAAATAAAAGTTCAGCACTGGATACATGGGGAACAACTAGGGCTGAATGTTATAATTCAAAGATTGGCTCAACTTTTAAATAGAGACCATGGTGATGGAAGTATTTTATTGACTGAAACAATGTGGTGTCACATTACATTGTGCAAGCCTACCTCCCTGTGTGATTGCCAACACAACTAACATTGTTACTTTGTCATTATTAGGCTGGTATTTGGGCACAAATCAGATGGCATGATCTGATGGCATGATGGCACAATGGTCTTTATAGATCTGAGGCTTTGCTTCCTGTTCTCTACATGTCAAATTACACAAACAAGAAGGATTGCAAAACTAGAGTGGTCCTTTGTGCTCACCAAGTTGATTTTTTTTTTGCCAACATATTAAAATGATTTCCAAACACTGGTGATTTTATGTCTTAGTTTTTTTTATGCACAGTTCTGTCTCTCAGGACCATGGTGCTCTAAATGGGTTACTGCAATTATATAGCAATCATTTAACCGCTCCTGCCCGCCATATAAGGTAATGACGAGCGCAAGGCGGTCCTCTCGTTCTGGGAGGACATCATATGACGTCTTTCCACTCTAACCACGCATGCGCAGCTCTGGGGGCACGCAGCACGGCGATCAGTGGTGCGCTGTGTCCCTCCGACACAGCAGATCAACGGAAAGAGCTGAAGATGTCGGCTCTGTCATGTAATCAGCTGTGTCCAATCACAGCTGATCACATGTAAATAGGAAAATGCCAGTTATCGGCATTTCACTCCTCACGAGCTGTCACGCTGACAGCTCGTGAGGAGTGGAGAGCCGGGTAATCAGCATCCCTCAGAGGGGACATGTACACTGATCATCAGGGCACTGATGATCAGTGTGCCCTGATGATCAGTGTAGCCTCAGTAGTGCCACCTCTCAGTGTCAATCAATGCCAGCTGTCAGTGCTCATCAATGCCACCTGCCAGTGCCCATCAGTGCCACATCAATGCCATGTATCAGTGCCTACCAGTGCACATCAATGCCATATATCAGTGCCCATCTGAGCTGCCTTTCAGTGTCGCCTATCAGTGCCAGTCAGTGCCACCTATCAATGCCAGTCAGTGCCACCTATCAGTGCTGCCAATCAGTGCCACATATCAGTGCCAGTCAGTGCCGCCTATCTGTGCGCAACAATGCCGCCTATCAGTGCCCATCAGTGCTGCCTATCAGTGCCGACTAACAGTAACAGTCAGTGCCACCTAACAGTGCCAGTCAGTGCTGTCTATCAGTGCCAGTCAGTGTCGCCACCTATCACTGCAGCCTCATTAGCGCACATCAGCGAAGAAGAAAAATCACTTATTTACAACATTTTTTTCAAAATTTTGGTTTGTTTAGCAAAAAATAAAAAACCCAGAGGTGATTAAATACCACCAAAAGAAAGCTCTGTCTGTCTCAAAAAAATGACCGCGCAATTGTCATTCAAAGTGTGACAGCGCTGAAAGCTGAACATTGGCCTGGGCAGGAAGGGGGTATAAATGCCCTGTTGGCAAGTGGTTAATATATGCCACTGGTTCATGACCAATCATATGTCAGCCATGTTCAGGGCCATAAATAATTTTTTGTTCTGGTCTTTTTAAATAACATAAATTGCACCAAATTCATAAGAAAAACTATATGTGTTGCCCATAGTAAGCAATTACATCCTTAATTTTATTTTCTCACGTCCTCATGAAAAATAAATGTGCTTTCAGTTTTTCCTTCTTCCAGTTTTTACAGCTGGCACAGGAAATACAATGCATGAGGATATAACAAAGAATACTTACCAAAGCTATAATGTCATGTCCAGCGAGCTCATCCAAAACTTCCAATGGTGTCATTGGTTCCAAACGGAACTGATAGGAGTGCTAATCTATTCAGCCTGGCCTGATAAAATAAAACAGAATTACATTATGGTAACTAAAATAGTACCAGGGGTCTTTAAAAAGTGTTGGCACTTTTTCTTACTAAGAGTTTATAAAAGTGCAGAAACGTTTTGAAGAACCCTCGTAATATTCAACTTCATTTTAACATGGCCCAGTACAGAAAATACAAAGCATGAGGACATAACAAAGATTACTTACCAACACTATAATGACATGTCCAGTTTCTTTTTTTCTCATCTAAAACTTCCAATGGTGTCACTGGTTCCAGACGGTGAACTGATAGGAGTGCTAATCCATTCAGCATCTGCTATAAACAGTTTTATTTTAAAAAGCAAAGTGTGCACTTACAGAAAGTGAATACGGTGGGGCCTACAAAAGTGACGTCATCATGTATGCCAAGTGGATGGACAGCCAGGATCGTCCTGCTACCATATGACATACTATATGCTTGGATGCTTTTAACCTTTGTAAGTGCGCACTTTGCTTTTTAAATACAATTGTTTATATGATATCACACTATAGGATCGCCCTACATTTTTATTTTTTGAGAGTTACTTTGGTTGTTTACCCTGGCTTTTGGGCTGTGGAGGAGACAGGTAAACCACTGGGAGATATTAACCCTTCTTGCGCTGATTGATCATTTACAGCAGCCTTTCTCAACCTTTTCAACACAGAGGAACCCTTGAAATGACTTTTTGGTCTCGGGGAATCCCTGCTAAAAATTACTGTATCTACAGCTCATGATACATTTGTGTGATGGTCAGTGGGAAGAATGTTCCTTACACTTGTGGTTATTGAGAAGAATTAGCCCCTTATAGATAGCTAAAAATATCAATGGTGTCAGCGGGAACCTATCTGAGAGGCGGATATTGCTCGTTGCTCAAGAAACCCCTAGCAACCTCTGGAGGAACCCTGGTTGAGAAACCCTGATTTACAGTACATTCATAATAGTCAATAGGATCTAGTAAGAAGCTGGAGTGTGGTTCTATCTCTGGGTGCACTGATTTGTTTCTATTTTGCACACTGATGTTCACAGTTTGGAGGACTAGAACAACATATTTGTTTTCTTTTTTGTGTGGATTTCATACAGATACTGTATGATGATCAGTATTTCACAAATGAATAGTAACTATCACGTGTTTTCTTTTGGTTTAAAGGATTTCACATATGTACTATATTATATACTGTATGTTATATTGCTGTACTGTTGTTTTATAATTTATTTAGTATCACAATTTTTGTGCTGGCAGCTTTTTTGTTTTTCTCATTTAAGCACAGTGATTTTTTTTCTGTTTTGAATAATGTAGCACTACCCCCTTAGAAGTTGCAAGAGATTTGAGTCCCCCTATAGTTCTGCACAGCCAGGCAACACGCATTTTCCATTCAGACCTGCCTTTAGGAGACAGTGACCAGTACTTGAGCTTGTTTTCATGTTTTATTAGGGGATGATAAATTGTGGATGGGGTAAGGGGTGTACGGGATGCCCAATGAATCTGGAACTGAGGACAAACTTACTGAAACCATTTACAAGTCTGTACAGCAAAAGTTCCTCTTCTAGAGAGCTAGCCAGTCTCTCCCAGTGTACTACCATAGACCCTAGACTCTCCTCTATCTGGCTGCCTGGAGGAATCTCAGAGCAGGTGATCTAGTGTCTGTCACTTTAAGACAATAGGACAGTCATGGGCAACAGCTAATCTGGTTTCCCACCAGAGTGCTCCTTCCCTTGTCTAGCCCAAGGGGTACAGACCTAATCACTCAGTCCTTCTTCTGTGCTGCTGGTGGGTCGGTGGCTTCTACCAGGCCTTCCCAGCCTCACAGATGGTCCTCTTTCAGGAGGCTGTTGAAGTCCTGAGTTTTCCTCCTTCCAAGCTCCTCTGCCTGCAGGTGAGCCCATCTCCAGCAGTGGGTGGAAAGGGTGCCCAGATTAATAATATGCACAATTTCTCATTAAATTGAATGGGGACTCATTTATTTAGAGTGCCAAAGCAAGGGAGGAAGATGGCATACTTGCAAAGCACACTACTTTACAATAAAAAGGAGATTTTTTTTTTTACTTTTGTACAGTTATCCTTTAAATGGATCTCTTTAACACTTTGAGGACCATAAGTTTACGGAACGCCAAAAGAATCAATTTTTTGTTTTTAAAGTTTGTACACTTCAGTTGCTGTAACTAAGCCATTTCATGAAATAATTGGCAAAAAGCTAGATCCATTTGTTGGTAAGAACTAATATTTTGACTCAAACCAAAAAAAAAAAAAGTATTTTAAGTTCTTAATCAGATGATACAGGCAATTAAAAACATGGGACAAATACATCCCTTGGTTCTCAAAGGGTTGGGTTTTTGTGCACCAGAGTATATAAGACATCCTGTTCTGATAAAAGAGTCAGTTCTACCATCAAAGCTTCCAGGGATCTCATGTTAATATGAAACAGAGATCTTTGTGTCTAGTAGAATTTCCATAGAAAATGTTCATTTTTGTGAAATGGTAAGTGGGGTCAAATCGTTTCTACTGTAGTGACAAGAACATTTGAAGGATAGAGCATTTTTCTTGAATGAACAAAATTCTAAACATGAATTTTGTTTTCTTTTGGGAAAAATCATACATATTGTAATGCGCATTTTCTAGGCACAAAAGAAGCTTGTATAATACTTCTGGAATTCTATTCAATTAACAGGTCTAGACAAAAGTTTAAGGGCTTTTATACAAAATTAGTTGACTCAATTATGGCAAAATCAAATGTATTAATAAACAATGTTTCAGAATGTCTGTAGGAATGTTTAAATGAAATTCTACTAGTATATGGCCAGATTTAGAAAAGGACTATCTGAACAAGCTACTGAAAAGCCACACTTGTTGTATTTGAAGCATGTTTGATTTTGGTCTTTCCAAAACACTTTATTAACTGTTGTCAACAATAACATTACCTACAGGCATTAGATAACGCCCATAAAAACACAAATATAAGGTATTTGACACAGTTTTCCCACTTTCCCATGGGAAGGCTTGGCTGCGAAGTGTCAAACATGGTCATGGAGGTGCCTAAAAAATTATATGTATGTTCTCACATCTGATTATAAATGACAAGGTAATTATAAATGGTATAAATGATCAGGTGGGCGTTTGCTAATACTCCTATACTCAAATACTCCTGTGCATAGGTGTGGGGGAACAAAGTCCTAACTAGATGCTATGCAATGGCCTTGCTTCCCTCTAGACGACTGGGGTAGTCCAAAATACAAATGTAAAATCACAAATAAGAGAGCGCACCTGCCTAATGCATTATCCTTAGTGAATTTTATTAAATGCTGATAAAAAGTTATACTGAAAAACAATGTATAAAAACTTGCACATCAAGTGATGACACAGTGCTTGTAAAGACCTGAACCCGGAACATGGCTGACGCGTTTCAAGGAAAACGTTTCTTCAGAGCCAGAAGAATTGGATCCTCCATCACCTTAAATCCTCCATTGCTCCTACTCAATAAGCCAAAATGCCCCACCCCACTCTCAATGGGCAGGGTAATTCACTGGTGACTTTCAAGCATGTGCACATTAACAATATACACTATATTGCCAAAAGTGCTGGGACACCTCTCCAAATCATTGGTGTGTTCTCACCTTCCATGGCCACAGGTGTATAAAAATCAAGCACCTAGGCATGCAGACGGCTTCTACAAAACATTTGTGAAAGAATGGGTCGCTCTCAGGAGCTCAGTGAATTCAAGCGTGGTACCGTGATAGGTTGCCACCTGTGCAAGAAGTCCATCCGTGAAATTTCCTTGCTACTAAATATTTCACGGTCAACTGTTAGTGGTATTATAACAAAGTGGAAGCATCTGGGAATAACAGAAACTCAGTCACGAAGTTGTAGCCAAATAAAATGACAGAGTGGGGTAAGTGCATGCTGAAGCGCACACTGCACAGAGGTCACCAACTGTCTGCAGAGTCAATAGCTAAAGACCTCCAAGCTTCATGTGGCCTTCAGATTAGCACAACAGCAGTGCGTAGAGAGCTTCATGGAATGGGTTTCCATGACCGAGCAGCTGCATCCAAGCCTTACATCACCAAACGCAACACAAAGCATTGGATGCAGTGGTGTAAAGCACGCCGCCACTGGACTCTAGAGCAATGGAGACGTGTTCTCTGGAGTGATGAATGCTGCTTATCTTTCTGGCAATCCGATGGATGTGTTTGGGTTTGGCGGTTTCCAAGAGAATAGTACTTGCCTGACTGCATTGTGCCAAGTGTAAAATTTGGTGGAGGGGGGATTATGGTGTGGGGTTGCTTCTCAGGGCTTGGGCTTGGCCCCTTAGTGAACTCC